CCAGCTTCAGTCAATATAGATCTCCCTTGTTCTTATTTTAAATATGATTTTATTTTTTATTTATGGTCAATAGTTTAAACAATTTTAATAGAGGAAACATTGCACTCTGCAGGTGATAAACACTCTCTACAGATACATGCCTTTACAGAAAAGGCCTAAAGTTTTGTATTACAGATTGCGGATGCCCAGATATAATTTCACGTCCCAAAGTACTCTGTCTAACTTGAGCAAGGCAGAGGAGGCAGCAATGAAAGTAAAAACTCCCTACACATTTGAGGAAAGCATGGAAATAAATGTGACACAACAAAAAAACACAATTATTTATGTTACTTATTTATTTTGCATATTGTGTCCCCTTATCCTTATTTTCTACTTGAAGTATTTGCCAACTAGGCTGCTGCATACGTATTTACTATTTCTGCTCTTGATTTGCGGTTTAGTTTTATACTAGTCACACATGTGCACGGTTTACTGTGTCTTCTATAATCCTAAAACAAGGCATTATTTTATTCATTGATATATTGTATTGAAAAGTGTTGAAAATTGCTTCTTATATTTTGAATGCTATTTATACACCTCAACAAAAAAAGTACAAAAATAATAATAATAATAATAATAATAATCAGTTGAGTCTTTTTTTTTAGCATGAAAGTGTTTGTTATTTTTCAAGGTAAGTATGATAAATAACAGATGTAAAGTAGATCATGTAAACAGTAGACAAACAGATATAAAGCAGATAAAGTTAAAACAGATGCAAGACCAAAAATACTAATCTGGCTTTTTTGGAAACTCTTTATTTTTTTTTTGCATGATGATTATAATGTATGATTAAGCAGTGTTATAACACCAAAAATCAGTGTGTAGGAAAATTACTTTTCTTTAAATCAGCTAAGAGATCTTATAGAACTGTATATTAAACCACGTCCAAAACTCACACGATATACAAACAAAAGGTATACACCTGAAATTAAACAAAATAGACAGATTCTCCAGAAAGCAGGAAAGTGTTAAACTATGCTAAAACTGTTGGACAGATTACACTGGGACAGTGCCAAGGCATGTCGACCATAACTTCTACAGTGGGCTATAGTGGTTATGGTGCGGAGCCTGAAATTTTTGCTTTAAGTTTCAGAGACTGGTGCCCTGGCGAACATAAATCAACAGCAAAATCTGCAATCATTCTAATTAGAAATGTTTTTTTGTTTTTTTGGCTATTTTAGCCTACTCTTTGGTAGTCAGAAGTAATTTCCCCACAATTTGTTGTTTATTGAATACACCCTATTGTTTGCTTAACCTCTTCTTAATGGAAAAAAAAAATAGAATTCCATACACTACTACTTCACAGCAGGCTGTTACATGACTGTAAATTGGAGAAATGCCTAATTTCAAGCAGTTAAGCATTGAGAGAGCAAGTGATATTTGATTGATTTCTATTAAGCACATGTTAAATTATTACAGAACTATTAAACCAAAACAACAATGTATTCTGATATGCTAAAGCCAGAATTATTATATTAATTCTAATTATTAATATTAATGATAAAATACAGTCACATTGACATTAAGCAGATACAGACACATGAGCAGAAAGCAGGTACAGACAACCAAACTGGTTGGCACATATTCAGACAAAGGGTCATATAGTGATACACTCACACTTGTAGGAACATTGATCTGATACGACATACACAAAGAAAAAGAAAACCGATGGCACTGCACCAGCAGAAAGTATGGAAAGCATGGAAATAAATGTGACACAACAAAAAAACACAATTCAAAAAAATAGTGTTAAAACCAAATAATTAAAGTGATATAGAGCAGATATATGATATGCATCATTTGAATATATCAATCGAAGCACTATCACTATAATTATTTCACTTTGACACTATTATTTATATTGTGTTTTTTCTCACATTTATTTGGCGTTATATATATTCACAATGCTCTTCCACAGATTATTAAAATACACTTAAGTTCATTTAGCACTAGCACTATTTAATTTGTCTCCCACGTTGGCATTAGTGTAGGACCCATCGATATTGAGTTACTGTGGAGTAGTGGTGGGCTTAACACGGTATGACCATGTAGTGGAAATTCGTTTGCTGAGATAGGTGGCATTAAGTAGCCTTGTAAAAGTGAAAACTGTATTTTTGTTTGTGCGCTGTTCCTTAATCTGTATTGTGTACAAATTTTGGTGTCTACGGCAGCACCACCGCCAGAGGCGTAGCGTGGGGGGTAAAGGGGGGGCCGGCCGCACTGGGCGCAACATCTGGGGGGGCGCGCTCGCACTCGCAGCTCTCTGCCCCTGCCTGGCTCACTCACTCTCTCTGCAGTGCTAGCTGTGCGAATCCGATCCGAGCTGCCGGGTCGCCGCCCACTGTGGAGGGGGGGGGGTGCCAGGCGTGCGGTGCTGTGGGTGCGAAGAGAGAGCGAGGGACTATCTGGGGGAGGGACAGTGCAGCGGCCGCCCAGCGCAGCGCTGAGCGCGGGAGAGAACCACACCAGACCAGCCCAGGCAGCAGCAAGAAGAAGCTGGCAGCGGCGGCAGGTGACACAGCCAGGCCAGAGAGGAGAGAGGGAGCCAGTGGTGACAGACGCTGCAGGAGGAAAACCTAGGAGGACCTGGAGGAGAAAACCTAGCCTGCTGAGTCAGTGCTGACTGCTGTGATCGGGTCCGGGACAGCCGGTGAAAAAAAAGGTAGGAGTCAGGACTGACTGGAGTAGTACTGGGCACAGTGGGCTGGCTGTGTAGTGCTAGCAGAGGCAGAGCATCTCCCAAACTGAAGTTTCTTTGCGATGTTCCCGGTCTGCAGGTCAAGACTGGCATGTTGAGCTGACCAGATGGATTGAATTTTGGTTGGTTCAACAGTGACGAGACAGATTTCGATCCATATGTAGCTGCTCCAGCTCAACATAAATTGATGTAAGCCAGTGGGTCTAGGCGCAACCTTTAATTTATTTATTTATTTTTGCTGAAAGAGTAAGGCAATAGGCATGAAGGTGAATAAACATTATGTTAAGAGTAAAGAAATGGTTATACAATGAAGGGGTGCTAAAAGTGCAGCAAGGCAAGAAAGTGATTTTCTTTTTTTTTTCTTTTTTTTGAATTTTAGCATGTCATGCCATACAAAAAATAATCTGGTGCACAAGGCAGGAAAAGGAGAAAGATAGAGACAGAGCAACAAGCTAAGTTAGCTGGAAGCCTTCACCGGTTTTTGGTGAGTACTGCTGAAATTACAGCAGGACCATCATCAGCAGCACCACAGGAGACTCGTAATCCTGATCCTGTGTCGGTAGACATTCCTGTTCCTGCATTAGAAGCAGAGACAGTTTCATCTAAGGATGTTTATACTCAGCCAAATCTGCCAGAAAATATTGACCAAAAAGTTTATACTGATATTGGCTATTGGCCTGAAACCATGGATGAAACCTTGAAAACTGAACTTGTCAGGCGAGGGACAGAGGAACTGCAGAATAAGGATGCATGGTTTCCAAGAGACAGTAATGGCAGGTCATTTTCCAAGGATTGGTTCTACATACATTTGGACAATGGTGAGACTATGTTAAGGACATGGTTGGTGTTTTCTCCTGTAAACAATGCTGCATATTGCTTTCCTTGCATGCTTTTTCAGAAGGCTAAAGGGAAAAGTTCATTTGGAAAGTCAAGTGAATTTAATGCATGGAGAAAGTTAAGCCCTAGATTACTAGAGCATGAGCGCAGTTCATATCACTTGAGTGCATTTACAATATGGAAAGAATTAGAAATGCGGCTGCATAAACAGGAGACTATTGATGCTGCTGCCCAGCTTGCACAACAGAGGTCATTTGAAAAATGGAAGGCAATCTTAGTCAGAATACTTGATTGTATTCTGTATCTAGCCAGGCAAACCTTACCCTTACATGGTCACTCTGAAGATTTAAATACAGATGGTAACTGTGGAAATTTCTTAGAAACTTTCAAGTTACTCGCCAAATATGACCCAGTTGCCAAACAACATCTTCACAGAGTACAACGCACAGATGGTTACATTGTGTCCTATCTCTCTCCACAGAGCCAGAATGAGTTTATTAGCCTGCTCGGCGATCACATTCGAACAGTCATCTTTCAAAATATCATAAAGGCCAAGTATTTTGCTATAATGTTTGATAGCACTCCTGATATTTCACACACTGACCAAATGTCCCAAGTGATTCGATATGTGCATATTGAAGATTCAGGAGTCCATGTGACAGAGTCTTTCATTGACTTTATTCAGTTATATGGGAAATCAGCTGATGTCATTACAAAACAAATTTGTGACAAGTTGCAAGCTGATGGCCTTAAACTAGAGCATTGCTACGGCCAGGGATACGACAATGCTGCGACTATGGCTGGACACATTAGTGGTGTACAAAAACGTATTTTGGATATGAATCCCAAAGCAATGTTTGTGCCATGTAACAATCACTCGCTCAATCTTGCTGGGATGCATGCAGTTGGTGTTGGGACAAAGTCTGTTACTTTCTTTGGCACTGTGGAAAAGGTGTATTAATTTTTCTCAAGCTCCACCCACAGGTGGGATATCCTTAAGAAACATGTACCAATTCGTGTAAAGCGATCGTGTAACACAAGATGGAGTTCAACGCATGAAGCTGTATGCGTACTTGCTGAACACACTGAGAAAATAATAGACGCTTTGGAAGCGTTGAGAGATAGGCCGAAAGAAACCTCTGAAACCAGGGGTGATGCAGGAAGTCTTTTAGTTTGCATAATGACATATGTTTTTTTCTCTTTCTTGCATTTTTGGAACCCAGTACTAACCGAAGTAAATGATACTCAGATCTACCTGCAGCCAGAAGGACTTGCGCTTGATCAATGCGTGCAAAAGTTAAAAGCATTGACTTTATTTTGTCATGAAAAACGTGATAGTCTAGTGTCAAAGGCAACTGAGAAAGCTTTGCAGGTATGCAAAACCTATTGCATACCAACAGAGAGAAGAGTTGGAAGACGCTAGAAGATGGATGGTGAGAACAGTTGCGATGCTGGCTTGACCTTAATACAGGAAACAAGCAGAGAACAACTGGAAGCAATTGATCAGCTTCAGGCAGAAATTAAAAAACGTACTACGCAGATGAATACGCTGCACCAGCGATTTGCTTTTTTGCAAATTCAAACATTGTTGGATACTAAAAAAGATGATTTTATTAAGAAACAAATTCAGCACACGTGTGCTCAGTACACGGAATTGAATGCTGCATCTATGCTCACCGAAATAACTCGACTTCGGCACCACATTATCTTGTATAAGGAGGTCAATCCTGATGAGCAGGTTGCAAACTGGTCAGCTTTAGATTTGCTTCGCTGGGTGTATAAGTGGAAGCTGCAAGAAAGTTTAACTAACTTTGTTGTCACATTAAGAATCTTTCTTACTATCACTGTTTCTACAGCGAGTTGTGAAAGAAGTTTCTCAAAACTTAAACTAATTAAAACATATCAGAGATCTACAACGAGCCAAGAAAGACTGAGTAATCTAGCAATACTGTCCATTGAGAGAGACTTTAATGTAGATTTCAATTCCGTTGTTGAAAAATTTGCGCTAATTAAAAGCAGGCGAATTTAAATTAATCTGTATATTATATACAGATTGATATCTTTCACTTCTATTAAAGAATTACAATTAGAGGTACAGGATTGAGGAAGTTGGCTCCATCTAGCCCAGTCTTGGATCATCTCCAGGGTATGGTTCCATTTTGATGTTTAGTTTTTGTTCTTGATATTTTTTGTCGTGACGACATATAATAGCATGGCCCATGCTAGGTTACTACATTTGTATATTTGTATTCATAGACCTGCTGAAAATGTGGAGAATGTGTGTAATGCATGTTCGCACTCAATAAAGTGTTGGAAAATAAACTTGTATTTAGATGCATTTTACTTTAATTACATAAGTATTTTCATAACAAACAATACATGTGCTTGGGGGGTAAGTGTTTCTTTAACTAATCTAGTGGAAGAGACTCGAGTGCTAAAATCCACGGGTTAGGGGGCGCAAATTACTTGCCTTGCCCCGGGTGCTGACAACCCACGCTACGCCACTGACCACCGCACAGAAATGCATGCTCTGAGTGTGTCCCGGAGGTAACAGGCGTAAACACACTGAAAGATTCAGTTAGGGAGGGCGAAACCACTGCGATGAAAAGCATTTTAGAAAAGGGGGAGCAGCAGTAGGAGTAACTTAATTTGAAAAATAAAAATAATTTTTCTATGAGTTGACAATTGATGACCATCTCACCTGTTTCACCCTTTTATTTTTTGAAAAGTTCCCTTTTTTCACATTAAATTACTCCTGCTGCTAACAGGGCACAGTTTGTTTTATAAAAACCAAAGGTTGGTTACCGATGCTACAGACTGGATGTGTGGGAGCTTTGTTCTTCTCAGAGTGAAAGAGGTGAGTGGATGGTCAATTGCCCACTTATTTTTCTTTCCTTTCTTTTTAAAATAAAATAAATCCCTTCTTGTAACTTAAAGGGTTCCTCCAAGCTTAAAAACTAATATTATTATCTCATAATGCCCTATTGGGCACATCTAGATTGCCCTTCTCCTTATATGACTAAAAAGGTTTTAACTGCAATCCAGCACCATGTGAAGAAGCTTCCTGCAATGCTCCCGGCAATGACCTCCCTGTATCCAGCATGGCAGGTGGCCTTGTGCAGTCCAATTACAGGCTTCTCATAAAGAAGCCTGTCATTGGATCATTTCGCTGGCTCAACCGGCTCCAGGCTTTTGAGAGGAGGGCAGAGGGATTGGAGAGGCACAGAGAGAGAGAAGAATTTGTAAAACACAAGAAAAACAGGTTATTCCAAGAATGGAGATTCAGAAACAACGTATAGTGTTAGCAACTGTAGGCACATGCTACAAGGATGTAAACTAACAGTAAAACATATAAATTTCAACCCTAGTTTGACTGATATATTATGGTTAGCTTTGGAAGGCCTTTGTACAGGTAACAGCATTTCACAAGTATTTAACCCTGTTTAAGACTAGATCCATACCTGGTCAAACAGAAATGCTTAAAGTAAAAGATGTAAACACTGCAGACTTGTTTTGTAATGTGTATCCAGTATTTACAGTAAACAGAGATCATTCTGTAATTAATTGGGAAAGTGTGAACTTTTAGTCCTTTTTGGTGAGCAACAGTGTGTCAGAGTAAAATCTACCACGGAAAATTTTTGATTTTTTAATAAAGAAAAATGAAATAGGACACTGCATGGTTATTTAAGTTCTGATGTAAAGACGTGTGATAATATATTAATCTCAGGTCTTGCAGAATTTTCCATAAACCCCAATTTTGAATTATGTGGCATTCTCCAGTGTAGACCACACAAGCCAATGAGAGCAAAAGACAGAGCTAACAAGGAATAAAGTGATGCAAATAATTATATCTACCTTCCCATAGCACCACAACAGAAGACATGTTACCATCATCACAGCTATTCAGCAATCCAGCATACAAAAGCGCAGACAGCTGAGTCACAGTTGGCACATAGAATGCTACTGGTGAAGACATCGAAGGAGATTAATTAGAATACTTATTACCACCTACAATTACATCTTGAGCTACAGTTTCTCCTACAAATGCCTACCAGAAAAGTGATGCAATTATCCAGAAGGCTTCTGCCACTCAAAAAAGAAGTTGCCTGGCATGGCCTAGGGTATCAGAAATTAATGAGTGTTTTTTACAGGAAAGTCATAGTCAAAAGGGAAAGTCCAGAAGGCACACAAAAGCTATTGTGTCGCTAAACATACAGTGTTGATTCATTAGAACTTTATTTATTAGCCAATTTAGGAGAGACTGGAATCCATCTGCCCATTCAATAGTGTGTGTTCACTTTTGTTTCTACAATGAGATAGAATAAGACCAGCAGATAGGTTATTAAAATGGAGGCAGCATGGCTAGGTATTAGATCTTCATACAAGTACTCATCTTCAAGTCTGTGCTTGTTCAGCATCACAACGGGCCCTTTTATGATGCACCGTCAATGCCAACCATTAAAGGTCCACTAAAGGTACCATGGCCACTATGAATGAACATCTCAATGAAATGATCTGGGTGCAGTGGGCCTGCAGTTTTAACTCTGCAGAAACGGCAATAATTGCATTGCAGGGTAAACACACGTCTAGTGGCACTTGCGCAGGAACACCCGAGTAAAACTCCGTTATGTGACCAAGGCACCTCATAGGAAAGCATTACATTCAATACTTATTTATGAGACGCATGTGGATGCATGTGTGGAACACTCTATAACGAGCCTTGGTTAGGCCATCGCAGAGCGAGCTGGATAACGTTGTGGACTAATACTATAGTATCCTAATATCAGATTTGTTTTAGGTATCCTTCCCCAGCTCTGTAAAAACCTAAAAAAAAGGGTTTTCCCTACCTTACCTGCTGGGCCAAGTCTCCCTTGGTGCAGCAAACCATGTCTTGGTGTTATGGTGTTCCTTTAAGAAAAAGCTTGCATGTTCACTGCATAATTTGCTATGTGAACACCAGCTTTATTCATGTTGGAGCATATTACAGAGATGTTATTCACCTACATTATATATAGCAGCATGTGTTGATATATATCTTTTCTGTCCTTTTTTGCAACACACAGCAAATTTATCAGGAGTGTTATGAGCTGCATGTGTTAGCTGGTTTATACGTTTGATGATTTGGATGTAATGGACACTCAAGGATACACCCTGTTAGAAACAGAATACTCAATACATAAGGAGATTTCCCAATAATTGAAGAGGGAGATTGGCCAAATTGGTGTAAGGTACAAATGTGGGAGCTTGTTTTCATACCTACCTAAACACATTTATTGTAGATTAAAGGCAATCAGACACACCAATAATATGGAGCTCCCAGAAAAGAGGGACAGAGGGATTTGGGCCCAAAATAGAGACTGTCTCACACAAATAGGGCTGTAGGTGAGGCACCAACAAGGACTATATACAGACTGGTTTATTCTAAATGCTTTTATTTGTTTATTTAATACATGCTTTTTGATTTTAGTGCAATATGTTTGTTTTCTTCTTCACGCTCGATTGCTGAAGGGTTAATGTGCTCTGCCTTAAATGCAAATGCATGTTTTACTTAGAGCCAAGTCTTTTAGACTCTCTTACATGTAAGTGAACCAGTGTTGATATTATCATAGTGGGTGTACATTAAAACATACAACAGCATTATGTTTCTTCTTCCCTCCACATATGTTAATCTTACCTAAAGACACCCTGTACTTGCTTTAAGATTGCAGTGCCACCTGGTTAGAAGTACACAGAATGCCTGGAATACACAAGCCAGTGTTTTAGACTTAGTATATTTGGTTGTTATACATTCGTTTTTGTTTCTATTTTATTCTTTATTTTTCAAAGTGGTTCAGCGCAAATACAATGCATAAAGATGAAAGAGCCATAGAATCAACAAATAGTGAAACATAGCATCGTAACAAGTTAAAGGGAAGGAAAAAGCAGCTGTGGCCATTAAAAAGAATGCATATATGAAGCCTAAACTCATGTCGGTGTAAGAAATAAAAATAAGTCTGCCAGAGTACTAAATCCAATGTAAAAAAACTTAAAAACAAAGTACTTATTTAGGCAAAACAGTATATGCATGAAAAGGAAGGTAGACTGGAACAGAAACAGGACAGAACTAAAGCCTACAGGGCCAGGGTAACTGTAGTATAAGTATAGAAAGTTGTGGCCAAACAGCGCAGATCCACTTTCTGCAGATCAGTCCCGATTACAGAGTCTTGTTCCGTTATTTCTCGCTTTTATTCCGTGGTGTTACGCATATGGGGACACCAGAGAACTACCCACAGGCAGCACAGAACAAGGGCATCCTTAAACACTTGTACCATTCAGGAAGTGCTTCAAAGGTAGGGTCTGGTACTCTGTATAGCATAGCAGGATAAGTTGTGATAAAAATCATAGCTGGGTCTGGTATACAAAGATAATACTAGAGGACGCAGGGTCACTTACTAAGCTGGGTCAATAACAAGGAACAGGAGTAATAATAACGTGCTCTCAGACCACAAAGGTCACTGGACCATAACAAGTATATACACAGGCCCATGCCCTTGTGTCAATTTAGTGTCACTGATGCATGTGCAGAGCGCCCGAGAGAATTCCAACCAAATAAAATAAATAAATAAATGACACGTCGTATAAGTTCGATTAGTTATAGAATGACACAAGTGTGAAATGGTGCCGATAATGTTGCGTCTAAATTGTCAAGCAACAGAAGTTGAAGCAGCCACATCTTGATAAATCTAATGCTTCTGTCTGTGCTTGTTTACAAAGAGGTGTGTTTGAATATCTAATTTATTGGAAATGCTGTGGTCATGATGATGGAACTTGGGGGTTGCTTTTGTTGTCCAGTCAGATACATCCATAGAGCTCTTCCTAATGACTTGTTCTAACAGAACCTGTGAGAGGCCATCTTAGGCAGGTGATTGTCAGATCCTCACTGAAGCACCAACCTTTAAATCTGCTCTCATTCTGTGACAAAACTAATCTGCCCTTAGTAATGTATTATTCATGAGGCACCTTTAATATCAGTCATAGAGATATAATTTG